CACCAGCAGTCACCTCTCCTGCCCTTCCTGTAATCTGGAATTCAAACCCCCAGCATCCCAAGGAGATACACACCCAGAGTGCGGAATCCAAAGCAATCTATGCTTGGACCAGATCCCGTGTGGCACAGCGGCACCTACTGGTCAATCGTGGAACTTCACTCCAGAACTTCAAGCCCTTAAGTGAGCACCTACTGTGTGCTGAAGAGAGATGAACAGTGTGGTCCTTGCCCTCAGGAAATCCACATCCTCAGAGAAGATGGACATGCGTATTGGAACAATATAAGAGGATTTTCACTCACAGCCCCTGATTGGGACATCGAGACAGTCCCCAGTGGAGATGGCATTTGTGCTACACCCTGACTGATGAGTTGGAAGCTTCCAGTTGGAAGGAAAGGGGCCCTTCAGACCAGGGAAGCCCGAGCAAGAGCTTCGTGTCCAGGGGATACCAGATAAAATACAGCACAAAGGGCCTTACTCGGTGATAGAGCACTTGCCTAACATGTGGGAGGCCCTGGGCTCCATCCCAGCACTATAAAAATAAATAAAACATGGGCCCAAGATTAAATTTGAATTAAGAAAATGTTAGTGTTTGTCCTAAATATAGAATGGGGCATAGCTACATTACAAAATCATGGCTAGGGAGAGGGCTCAGGGGGTAAAGTGCTTGCCATATAAGCAGGAGGACCTGAGTTCAATCCCTGCCACTCACATAAAAAAAATCAGGGGCAGCTGAACATGCCTGTAATCTCAGCTCTGGGGAGGTGGAAACAGGAGGATCTCTGGAATTTTCTGGCCAGCCACCTAGCCAAATTGGTTAAGACCAGTGAGAGACCTTGTCTCAAAAAACAAGGTGGAGAGTGGATGAAGACAACCTAAATGCTGACCTCTGGCTTCCACATTTAAGAGCACACACATGTACACACACATACACCCATGAGCACATACATACATACACAATTTTTTAAATTTATTTTGGGAGTTGGGAGTATAGCTCAGTGGGTGGAGTGCTTGCATAGCATGCACAAATCTCCAGGTTCCATCCCCAGGATCATGTAGTAAGCGTGCCTGTGATTTTAGCACTTAAAAGATGGAGGCAGGAGGATCAGAAGTTCAGGGTCATCCTTGGCTACACAGCAAGTTCTAAGACAACCTGGGCTACATGAAACCCTATCTCAAAAACAAACTAAATTTAAAAATATTTATTGTTTATCTGAAATCCTAATTTATCTGAGCAACTTGTACATGTGTGTCAGATCTGGCAGCCCTTCGGGGAGGGAAGAAGTTGGGGATGGTTGGAGCCTGGGGGATTTAGAGATGGAGCAGGAGAGACTGGGAAGTGTATGGGTCATGCCGCCTCCCTGACTCTGAGCAGATCCTGTGCTTGGTACAGAACAAATGTAGCCCTGCCTGATGAACTGACAGCCGTGGATGCAATGTAAGAAGTGGCAGGAATCCCCTCAGAAAGGTACCAAAGCAGATGCTCTGAGGTCCGAGGAGGGGCACACACACAGAGATACACATGCGCACACACGCATGCACAGGCACACACAGACAGCTGGGTAATCCAGGAGGCTTCCTGGAGGAGGGTGCAGATGCTCTGGCCCAGGAAAAGTGGCCTCCTGTCTACCCTCCCTAGGAGAACCATGCCTGGCTCCCTGGTGTGAAACAACAGGAGACACTCCCAAGCATGTGTACCCAAAGCTCTTCCTCACCCCTGCCTCACCATCCCCGGGCTTGCACCCACTGCTCTTTCCTGCAGAAGGCTCTTCTTTAAGATTCCAGCCCAGAGCCCCCCATTCTTAAGGGAGCTTTCTCTAACTTTACTGCAGGTAAAGGGACCCAGGCCAGGTCTCTCCCCTCCACTTATGCTGTTTAACCTACCCTGTGAGCCCTTCATACCCACTGACTTGTTCATCCCTTGAACAACCTCTCAAGGTAGCTCTGATGATCCCACTTTGAGAAACAGAGAGGTTTAGAAACTTGCCCCAGGTTGCACAGGTGATCAGTAATGAAACAGTACCCGAGTGTAATCCCAACAGCTGTCACGTAGAAGTAGGAAGACCAGAAGTTCAAAGGCATCCTCCACTAGATAGCAAGTTCAAGCAAGCCTGGGCTACATGAGACCCTGTTTCAAAACAAACGGATTAGAGAGATGGCTCAGTGGTTAAGAACATTTGCTGTTCTTCCAGAGGACCCCACCTTCGATTCCCAGCACCCCCATGGCGCTAACAGCTATCCATAATTCTAGTTCCAGAGGATCTGACACCCTCTGCAAGCATTGCAGGACATGGGTGAACTTAACATACATGCAGGGAAAACAGTCACACACATAAAAATATAATTTAAATGCCAATAAACAATTTTTTAAAAAGGGGCCCATGATAGTCATGTGCAGAAGTAACAAGATGGATTGAGAGTCTGGTCCTTAGTGTCTGTACACAGTGGCCACTCGGCATATGTGTATCTGTCAGCCCTTGCAGAGATAATGCTGCTAAACAATCTTAACAACCTGATAGCATATAAGAGGTGGCTATTTTTCTTGCTCATGCATTTGCATCTGTCAAGTGGGGTGGCCCTGGTTCAGCCTAGAGTTAGGTCAAGGTTTCCGTGTGCTTTCTGGAACCAGCTGTTACGTGGTGAAAACCCCTCTTCCTGGTAGATTGCGGAAGCTTAAAAGCCGAACCAGATCATCAGGCACAGGTGCCCACTCTCATTATGCCCACTAGACTGTTCCAGTGGCCAAAGCAGGCCATGTGTCCAAATCCAACACCCTCAAGACAGAGGACGCTCTGCCTACTTCTGTGGGAAGCACTACAGAGTGGCCCTGTTCAGGCGAGACTGGGTGACCCTGTCACAGGAACAGTGGAGGGCGGTGGTCTCCCACCTGCCATGGGCAACACCCTCACTAACCATCTTCTCTGTTCCCGGCAGGAGCTCAGTGAGCACAACGCCACAGCCATTAAAAGCCCCACCAACACAGTCACGGTGCAGGGCCTCAAAGCCGGCGCCATCTATGTCTTCCAGGTGCGGGCACGCACCGTGGCGGGCTACGGGCGCTACAGCGGCAAGATGTACTTCCAGACCATGACAGAAGGTGAGTGGAGTCCAGGGGGCAGGAGGAGGGGCCCCAAAACTAGCAAATGTGGGGCCCCACTTCTACGAAACCTGCGCCAACTGGAAAACAAGCCACCTCCCTCCTGGATGTGAGCCTTTGTGCACTGTGCAAATTGCACCGCCAGTCGTAGAGCCCCTGCTTCTGTGGCCCAGAAATGTCCCCACTCTTTCGTGACCATCACATCATCCAGGCAACTTTGTCTTCTGGGATACTTGGGAGCTCAGACCTAACTTGCAGAGTCATGTTAATCACATTCTTTCCCCGCTGTAGATGTCTCTCTATAAAATGAAAGCATTGTGCCCCAACTGAGATAGCATTTTATCTATCTACAACTCCAATGACTAGTAATGGGACTGAAAAATTTGAAGCCACATCAAAGTTCAGCAGGAAGAAGTGCTGGGATAGATTAGTAATGTCTGCCCTGGGCAAGGGAATGAGGTCTATGTGCTATGTGTGTTCCCTAGTCTTGAACTCCATGAGCTCTGAGTACCATCTCTGCTTTAGTCATCTTTAAGAAGCAGAGGAATACAAAGGGTGTGACCTCCAAAGCAGACAGATGGGAATGACACTGCTGACTGCCCTGTGTGGCCTCAAGCACATTGCCTACCTCTGACCTCTCAGTTTTCTCATCTATAAAAGGGAATACGCCAGGTGTGGTGGTGCATGTCTTTAATCCCAGCACTCAGGAGGCAGAGACAGGTGAATCTCTGTGACATAGAGGCCAGCCTGATCTATATAGTGAGTCTCGGGCCTGCTGGAGCTACAAGAAGACCCTATCTCAAAAGGGGAGGGGTAGTAACAATTATGTCATTCCCATCTTCATCATCATCAAACGTGTGAGGCTGAGGTCTAGCATGGGATTGCTTTGAGGCCTCACACATACTTGGGCTAGTAGTTTTTTCTGGGGCTCTGTCTCCAGCCAACTGAACTCTGGGGCATTTCCTTCGCCTTGGCCCACTGTGAGCATGGGCCTTAACCTTTGTTCAGGCTGAAGCTTGCAGAGGCTCCTGGATGATCCTAAATTCCTGCCCCCCCCAGACGCCCTCCCCATGTGTCCACCTGTCTTCCAGCACTCACCCCCGCCGTCTCCCCTTTCGTCACTGGTGGCTCCTCTTGGCTTTCTAAGCCCCTTTCTGTGTCGGGCGAACTCACTGACTGGCGACTGGGCACTGTCCCAAGTCCCTCCCTTTATTAACTCAATAAATGTGTGCCAGGGCCCCCGCTGTATGCCAGACCATGTGTGGGCCCTAAGAACCCAGGCTCGCCTCATCCTTGACCTTGACCAGCTCCTGTTCTTAATAATAAAATGAAGGAGGACGTGGGTGTAGCTGGCACCAGGAGCAGACTGAGTGGTTAGGCAGAGACTACAGCCAGTGCCAGGTGCATCTGTAGGCTGCCATTCAGCTCTGGCCTTGGGCCAGGCAGATGAGTTCTTGTGATAGCTTTGACCTCCTCCTGCTTGATGACTCCTGACCAATCCTGGCTTCAATAAGCTGGGTTTCCTCAACTGTAAGGAGGGGTTTCTATAGGAAGTACAGTACAAGGCTGTCCCAGAAGTCACCGTGGGAGACAACAGAAACAGCAGCCATGATACTCCAAGCTGCTTGAGTGTTTACTGTAAGCCAAGTATTGTTGTCAGAGCTTTACCCACAATCCTATGGACTGAGAACTGTCAATCTCCCCATCTTGGGCTGGGGATGTAGCTCAGTTGGTAGAATGCTTGCACAGCATGCACAAAGCCCTGGGTTCAATCCCCACCACCAGCATGATGCCATGTTCCTGTAAACCTAGCACTCAGGAGGTATCGGCAAGAAGATCAGAAGTTCGAGGTCATCCTGAGCTACACAGAATGTCCAAGGCCAGCCTGGGTTACATGAGACCCTGTATCAAAACAAAAATAAGGGGCTAGAGAGATGGCTCAGTTGTTGAGAGCACTGGCTGCTCTTGCAGAGGACCCAGATTCAGTTCCCAGCACCAATATGGCAACTCACAGCTGTCAGTAACTCCAGTTCCTGGGGATCCAGTGCCCTCTTCTGGCCTCCACAGGCACTACACACATGTGGTACACTTCACACATGCGGGCAAAATACTCATACACAAAATTTTTTCAATAAATTAATCAAAATTTCTTTTAACAAAACAAAGTCTTGCCATCTTCTAGACAAGGGAGAGGAGACGCGGAGATGTGAGTGGTCTGTCAAAGCTGCCTAAGTGGCAGGGTTGGGATTCCCACCAGGGAGGCTGGCCCAGACCATTCTTGCTGATTGCTGCCCCAGCGTGGGGTGCAGGGGTTCCCGTGAGGTTCCTTGTGACAGCTTACTCCTTGTACAACATGAGACAGGTGCTGGGTCAGGAGCAGAAGGGGAGTCAAGGGTCACTAGTGACCATCAGGGCGGAGGATGGAAGCAGGGCCAGGCCCCTGAGCCAAGCTGAGGCACCCACTGCCCTCTCTCTCTGCAGCCGAGTACCAGACCAGCCTCAAGGAGAAGCTGCCTCTCATCGTCGGCTCCTCGGCTGCCGGCTTGGTCTTCCTCATCGCTGTGGTTGTCATCGCCATCGTATGTAACAGGTGGGTGGTGGCATCTGGGCCTGAGCCATAGCTGGGAGCAGAGGGGACGTGCCCTCGGCCACTGGGGACAAGGAGGGGCTCCAGTAGGCCAGGATACCTCAGGTGACCATTAGCTGTCCATATAGCATGATTAGGCGTCGCCCCTGACAAGTGCTCTGTGGTCAGGGTTGTACACTGAGACACCTGGGCAGGACAGACCATCCCAGAACAGAGGACAAGAATGACTGCAGGATGTTGGGGACTTCAGGGATGATGACAGAAGATGCAAGCCATTGTTCTAGTCAAGGCTGCCGGGCTGAAGTGCTGGAAAGATGATCAGGGATTAGCCAGGAGGGGCTGTGGGGTTGGCACCCTGAGTGATTGGCACAGCCAGGGCAGAGATAAGAGAGAAGGGCCACTCCCAGGTGGCTGTAGAGCATGATTTAGAGACTCTGTTCCTGCTTAAAGAGACCACCACTATCCAACCAGGGGCCACAGCAAGGTCAAATGGACGGAGCCCATGGAGTCAGAAGTCACAACTAGAATCTGAGGACTTGGCTCCTTCCTTCAAAGGGGCTTGGGCAGGGGACAGAGTGAGCCTGGTTTGAGGAGGGATCAGAGTAAGGCTGCTAGACAGAGGATAGGCCTGGAACATTCTTAGCACAGGAATAGCTTTAAGGGCCTGCCCACCCTCTCCCTATCACCCACTGTGGCTCCCACTTCCCCGGGTGCCTTCGGGTGGCTCCAGCCCTTTGCTCTTGTTCCAGAAGACGGGGGTTTGAGCGTGCCGACTCAGAATACACAGACAAGCTACAGCACTACACCAGCGGCCACAGTACGTACACACCAGCCACCTGGCACCTGGCCTCCTCTGTCAATTCCACAGGGGCCTCTCCAGCTTCCTTTTGTTTGTTTGTTTATGTACGTGTGTCTGTCTATATGAGTATATGTGTCTGTATGAATTCTGTCTATCTGCATGAGCATATGTGTCTATGAATATGCACTATGTGTATATGTGTGTGTATATGTGCTTGAGTATATGTGTCTGGGTATATGCACTGTGTGTGTGTGCGTGAGTATATGTGTCTGTATGAGCGTATGCACTGTGTGTATGTGTGCCTGTGTGTGTGTGCGTGCGTATGTGTGTGTGTGTGTGTGTGTGTGTGTGTGTGTAGGTCAGAGGACAACCATCTAGCTCACTGTATTTATTTTTGAAAAGGATTATGGCTGTGAAGATAGCCCTGTGGGTAGAGTGCTTGCTGCACAAGCATGAGAATCTGAGTTTGGATGGCCAGCACCCATGTAAAAAAGTCAGCTTATTTCTGTAACCCTAGTGCTGCAAGGTAGAGGGGAGTGTGGAGACAGGAAGATCCCCAGAGCTCACTGGACAGCCAGTCTAATCTACCAATGAACACCAGATTGAGTGAGAGACCCTGACTCAAAAAATAAGATAGAGCCAGGTGTGGTGTCACAGGTCTCTAATCCCAGCTGTGTGTGTGTGTGTGTGTGCATTAGATCGTTCAGAGCTGGAATTACGGCCATTGGCAGGATGCTCAGCTTACTCGGGTGCTGGGATCTGAACTCCTGTCATCATGATTGTGCAGCAAGTGCTCTTACCTCCTGAGCCATCTCTCCAGCACCTCCCTAATTTCTTTCACCCCCTCCTTACACATTACAGCCAGACTGGAAGGTCAAGCAGGTCCTGGATGTGCCAAGTGCCTCTGACCTCTTGATCCTTGCACCTGCTATTTCCTCTGCACATCCTGTGATGACTTCATCGTACAAAACCTGCAGAAAACCCCTCTGGGACTCTGCCCACCTTGGATCTCAACCGTAATCCGAGCCTGTTACCAGGGGGGCATTGCCCTAACTGTCACCCAGTCTCTGTCCTATGCCAGCAGGGGCTCTGGATAGCTGAAGTCTCCCTAGCACCTGCACATAGTGGGCACCACACATATATGGGGTATGTAGGGTGATGGACCCCAAGCTGTGGGGTCAGGGTTGCAGGTTTAAGTGGAGGCTGAAGTGTGGGTCCTGTTGAGCGTGCTTCCTGTGAACAAAGATGCAAAGGCATGGGGAGAGCTGGCAGCTTGGTAATAACTCTGGGAAAAGCATTGCAGGCTGGGGGGAACAGCCAGTGTGAAGGCCCAGGGGCTGGGGCAGAGTGGGAGAGGGAAGTGGGAGGACGGATACTCTGCATGCAGATTCTTGTCAGCTGTGGCTTCTCCAGGTGGCTCTTGTGCCAACCAGGGCAGATGCGATGGTAGTAGACCAGGTAGTGAGGACTGTGATCAGTGGCAGGAAGTGATTGGATTCAGGGTTTCAAACCTTTTGGGTTTTGTTGGGGTTTTTTGAGACAGGGTCTCTAGTAACCCAAGCTGGTCTTGAGCTCACTATGTATTCAAGAAAGAGTGAGCTTGGATCTCTAATCCTCCTGCCTCTACCTCCCAGGTGCTAGGTGTGCCATGACACCCGGTTATGCAGTGCTAGAGGTGGAACTCAAGACTTCCTTTGTGTCGGGCAAGTACTCTGCCCATTAAGCCCCATCCCCAGCCTTTGGACATTCACTGCCACGTGGGCCTTTGGACATTCACTGCCACGTGGGCCTTGAGATGGGGGTCAAGGGAGAGCAGAGTCCAGGAATGCAGACTCCTTCGGCACAAAGAGTTTGAAGGGAAAGTTTATTTGAAACAGAAACAGAATAAAAATAGACTTCTTAGAAATCACTTTGGATGTAAATGTAAAAATAAGCTGTTAAATTTTCCATTAAGAACTTTACGTGAAGCAGATGTGATGGCGTACACCTTTAACCCCAGCACTCGGGAGGCAGAGGCAGGGCCATCTCTATGAGATTGAGCCAGCTTGGTCTATATAATGAGTCCCAGGCCAGCTAGGGTTCTAGGGAGACCCTGCCTCAAACAGAATCTTGAAGTGACTACTGAACAGGTAGGGAGAAGAAAAGGGACTTTCTAAACATCACGTAATAGAAAGGTCAGGAGGAATTGCCAGTCACATTTTACTTCCTAATGCGTTAAGAATAAGTCAGGAGCCGCAGCACCCCCTTCTAACCCCTGTGGCTAGATGTACTGCATGCACACAGAGTGCTGGGAAATGTTTTCAACAGTTGGGGAGGTAGCTCAGTGAGTAAAGTGCTTGCCTTACAAGGACCTGACTTCCAACTCAGAACTCATGAAAAAAGCTGGATGGTGGGAAGGAGGCAGGGGCCAAGCTCTGGCTGCCACCGTCCTATGCTGTCTCCACCCCACCTGAGGTGGGCTTTGCCTAGTCCACCACCCAGAGCCATCTGGGAGTGAGCATGCTTATTTGAAGCCTGAGTCACTAGAAGGAAAAAGAAGAGGTTTATTTTTAAAACAGACCCCAGGATGTGTTCAGAGATCAATACACTAAGACCAAGTTTCCACTCCCTGCCCTGAGCTCTCAGAGCCAAGGAGGATGCCGCCATGTGATCCCATATCTACCCCACAGCCTTGCACAGTCAAGATGAAGAGAGGAGATCTAGATCTGTGTATGGCTCAGCCATCGGCACATGCTGAGTGGGAACCAAACTCAAGGGTGCCTGGATGTAGAGCCTGAGGGACTGACCTTGTTTCTCATCTCTATACTGCCACAGGTCAGCTGGTTGACCTGGGGAAGTCTGAGCCTTGACATCTTTCTGTGAGTCACATAAGGCATGATGCTTCCTATGCAGGTTGTGTGAGGATTGGGTTATAAGAATCGTGGATATTAGCATAACAAGGTGTCTTTGTAATAGTAACATTTGGTAAGAGCCAAGTTTCCTTATGCCAGGCAATAATTATTTGTTGCTTTGTTTTCCAACTGCTCTACAAAGCTATTTAGAAAAATGCTCTCAGGCAAAAGATAGCTCAGTTGGTAAAGTGCTTGCAGCACAAATGTGAGGACCTGATTTGATCCCCAGAATTCATGTGGAAAAGCCAGGAGGTGGCACGTGCTTGCAGTCCCAGTGTTGGGGAGGTGGCCAGTTCCAGGCCAGTGAGAGACACTGTCTCAAGAAACAAGGTGGACAGAGCCTGAGGCTGTTCCCTGGTCTCTGCACACGCTTTTACATGCACCTACACACACATGTGGACACACATGCACATGCACACACAAGAGGTCTCTCATTTAACCCTTGTGTTCACATAATGAGGGACATTGTTTACTATGATTGTTTTGAAAATGGCAGAAATGAGTAGAGAGATTAAGTGACAGACACAGAGCTGGGTCAACACTATGGTTGATCCCAGATTCACACTCATGAAGTAGTTTATGTGTGACGACAGTTAGCCAGAGAGGTAGAATTGAAGCCCAGGACTGTGCCTGCCTGGTCCTTCCTCCTGCCTCCTGAAGTTCCCATCTAGGTTCAGGATGGGGGGCGGGGTGCTGACAGTCATAAGCCTGGGGACAATAGCGTGGTATTGCTGCATGGTCCTCGCCCAGGCCCAGGGCAGCAAATGTCTCTTGGGGGGAGTGGGGCTGCCTTGTGAGATGGTCTGGGCATAGAGAAATGCACACCTACTGGGCCTGGAAAACTGGCAGCCTGGGGGACTAGCCTTCTGGTTCAGACCCCACCCCTGCCATTTTCAATTGTGTCTATGTCATCTTTTTATTATTTTATTTATTATGTTTATTTTATGTGTATGAGTGCATTGCCTGCATGTATGTAAGTGCACCCATGTTATGCAATGCCCACAGAGGTCAGAAGAGGGCATCGGATTTCCCTAAAACCAAAGTTACAGACAATTGTTAACCACCTTGTGCTGGAAATTGAACCTGGGTCCTCTGCAAAAGCAGCCAGTGCTCTTAACCACTGAGCCATCTCCAACCCATGTCTATGTCACCTTAGGCAGGTTGTTTCACCTTCCTGTGCCTCAGTCTTCCGTGTGAAAAATGGGAGTAAGATTAGGTTGGACCAAATGAAGTTGCTATTTGTGTATGTTGTAGATGTTGACAGATTTGTAAGTTCAACCCAATAGCATTTGACCTGGAACATCGTCGGGAGGGCGGATTGAGGGAAAACTACAAACTACCTAGAACAGGCCTGCACCTGATAAATGTGCACTGACTATATATGTAGTGAGTGTCTACTTAGCACCTGCTGTATACCACCTTCACATGTATAATAGGACCAACACACTAAGGCAAGGGCTTCTAACATGGAGTCCACAGACAGTTTCCCACAGCTCTGTAGATGTTCCAGGATTGCATATGGAATGTGGGCGTTTGTATTCCCATGAGAATCTTCCTCCGGGGGCAGAGCTATGGCTTTCAGCAAATTCACAAAGGTACTCAGAACCCCAGAGGAAGATTAGTAAGTGAATAATGCCATGATTCTCCAATAAACATTCACGAGCACCTGCTGTGTTCCAGGGCCTGAGATTGAGGAAGAATGAGGCCCACACGGCCTCTGTCTTCCTGGGGAACGTAAAACATCCCCAGGCAGCAGAGAGTTCCAGAAAGAGGACATGGGACTGTTGGCATGGATGTCTGGGAGCTGTGGTTCAGAACAGAAAAGTCATGTCGACATCGGGGCCATAGATCAGGTTGAAGCAGGGCAGTGGTGCCTAGGGAGAGACCATAGTCTCCACTAAAAGAATCCAGGTAGGATTCATCACTTCTTGCCTCTGAAGTCATGATGTCTTCCTCCTCACCCCTGGGGCACCTCCTCTTTCTCTCTGTGACTAGATAAAATGCTGCCTCCTCTGGGAAGCCTGCCTGGATTTCTCCAGTGGAGACTGTGGCCATGCATTAAATCTAAGTAGGAAAGGGCAGCTGCAGGAGCTGATCTTGGCTCTGAGGAGGCTGACTTGAAAGGAGGGGCTTGTGGCTCTTGATCCTGTAGAGGAAGCCTGAGTCTGGGCAGGAGTTGGCGAGCACAGTGATTGAGAGAACCCTCCGTGAGAGCTTGGAGATACATAGCTTAGTGGTAGAGTATTTGCTTAGCATGCACAAGACCCTGAGTTCAATCTCTAATGCCACAAGTATAAGAATCAGCTCTGTGGGGCTGGAGAGATGGCTCAGCGGCTAAGAACACTGGTTGTTCTTGCAGAAGACCCAGGTTTGAATCCCAGCACCCACATGGCAGCTAACAACTGTCCGTAACTCCAGTCCCAGGGGATCCAACAGCCTCTTCTGACCTCTGTGGGCATTGCACGACACAGGTGCACTTACCTACATGTAGGCAATACATGCATACACATAAAATAAAAATAATAAAATTTTTTTAAGTTTAAAAAAATTAAAAAATTAAAAAAAAAAAAGAATCAGCTCTGTGTTCAAGTCTGAAGGACCTTGGGGCTCCACGCTGTGTGACCTTGGCCAGGTTACTTGGCCTCTCTGAGCTGCAGTTTTCTCTGAGAGCTATTGGGAAGAAGAGGAAGAGATGACAAGGTATACAATAGAGAGCCTGATGGGCTGGAGAGCTGCTGTGGCCGTCAGAGGCTGAGGTCACAACCAAAAGAGCCTGACACAGTGTCGGGCACAGATAAAGGGCTCAGCATGTGACAGCTGCGGGTACTGTCATCTCTGTCATCTACATCCTCAATCCCCAGGCATGGAGCATCTGTTTCCTGCAGAGCTCTGAGCAGTGTGCCAGGTAACAAGGAGTGAGGTGGGAGCGGGACCCAGCCCTGCTCCTAGGGACTTGGTCTTGGCTTTGGCTTGTGATTTATTTTTTGAGACAGCGTCTTCCTATAGCCCCAGCTGACCTGAAATCCACCATGTAGACCAGGCTGACCTCAGTCTCACAGAGATCTGCCTGCCTCTGCCTCCCAAGTGCTGGGATCAAAGGAGTGAGCCACCACGTGGTGATTATTGATGTCTTTGGGGATCTCTGGCTCCTATAAGTTTGGGTCATACGGCCAAAGGAATGCAAATCAATCTCTCTCTCTCTCTCTCTCTCTCTCTCTCTCTCTCTCTCTCTCTCTCGTGTGTGTGTGTTGTGGGGGGTTATTCATATGTGTGCATGTATGTATATGGGGAGTATGTATGTGCGTATAAGATTTTTTATATATATATTTTTTGTGTAGACCAGATGTGGTGGCCACACGCCTTTGATCCCAGCACTTGGGAGGCAAAAGCAGGTGGATCTCTGTGAGATCGATGGCCAGCTTGGCTTACATAGCAAATTCCAGGCCAATTAGGGATACAGGGAGACCGTGTCTCAAAAAACAAATAAACAAACAAATAAATAAATAAAATGTTTGTGTATGTGTGGAGTGTGTGTGCACAACTGTGTGTGTGAATGCTGCGATGCACGTGTGCCACAGCACTGAAGTGGAGGTCAGAGGACAACCCCAAGTGTTGGTTCTTGCTTGTCTTGTTTGAGACAGTCTCTGTTGTTTTCCCACTGTGAACTCCAGGCTAGCTGGCCCATGAGCTTCCTTGAACCCTCTTGTCTCTGCCTCCCATCTCCCTGAAGGAGCCCTAGGATTATAGATGCTCACACTACTGGGGCCAGCCTTTACATGGATGCTGGGGATTTGAACTCAAGTCCTTGCACTTGTATAGCAAGTGCTTATACTTACGGAGCCCTTACCCGAGTCCTATGTGTAAGGTTCTGATACAGATAAATCCAGATGTCTATACTCGGGATGGACTTTTCAAGAAATTATTATTTTGATAATATTTGCTACCATAATTGGGAGACTTTATAAAAAGCACAAATTTCTTTCTTTTAAAATGGTGTAATCCAGTCCCAGTCTCCATTTTTATTACTGATGTGGGTGTATGGTGTGCGTGTGAGTGCCGTGCACACATGCTACCAACTCACATGTGGAGGTCAGAGTTGGTGCGCTCCTTCAACATTGTCGAGGCAAGGTCTCTATTTCTGGATCCGGGCTAGCTGGCCCACAATGCCCAAGGTCCTGTCTGCCTCCCATCTGGCTATGGGCGAACTGGGATTTCTGATGCACACTTCCACAGACAGCTTTTTTTTAAAGGTGGTTTCCAGGAATCAAACTCAGGTCCTCAGGCTTGTCCAACAGGCACTTTTACCCATTGAGCCATCTTGCCAGTCCACAAATTACTTTTTTAATCCAAAAAGGCCAATGATAAAAACAAGTGTGTTCCATTCCTGGGGATGTCCAGGCCTTCCAAAACCTATTTGGGGGTTTGCTGATGGCTCATAGACTCCAATATACAACCCCTGACCCAGAGGGCCAGCCCACCCCCCACCCCCACCCCCACCATCCCAAACACAGCTAATGTGTTAGAGTGTGGAGGAGGAGTGCATGCTGAGCAGTTAGGCTTTGTGAATCTCTTATAAATATCTCATCCTGCCTTCGTGGTATGAAAGCAATGAATATGGCTGTTCTAATACAACTGCCAGTTTGGTAGTCCCTGGGCTGCAAGCTCCAACTCTCCTGATTGCTGGAATGTCTTGAAGTAGCTGAGAGGGGTCAGCAAACAGGTATAGAGTCACACAGCTGAGCAGGGTTGGTGGCCTATGGGGACTCCAGCTCCTGAGTAGAAGAACTGCTTCCAGCAGAGGAGAGCAAGAAGGAGGAGCTGGGGAAGACAGAGGAAGGCCTGAGCCCTGGCAGGGGGAGGGTGGGGGGTGATCTCAACTCCTTGCCTTCACAGAGTTTTACAGACTCATTTCAGGCTCAGTTTGGGCCTCTGATGTCCAAGCTGCCTTCTTCTCTCTCTGCATCAAAAAATAAAAATGAATGTCAGCTCAGGGATAAAAGGAGTGTCTTATGTCTGCTTCAGGCAGATCAGAAGGGAATCCAGAAAGATTTAAAGCTCGGCTAGTAGGGGACCCTGGAGGTGGGCCCCAGAGTGTAGGGTACTCAGACCTGGTGAGTGAGGTAGCCCTCCAAGTCCCCTGGGGATCTGCTGGGGGTGGTTAGCTAGCAACTGAGAGGGTTCTGGGCCTACAGAAGAGGCTTGGGCTGGGCCTGGAGAGACAGGTGGCTTCAGCAGGACTCTGAGAACACCATAGTCTAAGGCCCGCTCTTTCTGTGTTTCAATTCCAATTCTTTTTAAAATGTGTGTGTGTGTGTGTGTGTGTGTGTGTGTGTGTGTGTGTATGGGCGTGCACGTTTGTGTGGAGGTGAGGTTGATATCAGGTGTTTTCCTCAATCCCTACTTTTTTTTTAAGATTCATTTTATTTTTAATTATATGTATGTGCACATGTGTGAGTGCAGTGCCCACAGAGGCCAGAAGAGGGTGTCAGATCCTCTGGAGCTGGAGTTACAGGCAATTGTGAGGCACCCACATGGGTGCTGGGAACCAAACCTGGGTCTTCTGCAAGAGCAGCAAGTGCTATGAACCACTAAGCCATCTCTCCAGTCCCTACCTTTAGTTTTTGAGACAGTCTCAGTGAACCCAGTTTGTTGATTCATCCAGGCTAGAAAGCCATCTCCCCAGCCCTCTTTCTTCCTTTATCATTTCCTCTTCCTTTACTTTTCACCCTGATTGCCTGTCACAAGGCAGTAAACCTATCCACCCTTTTATTCTGTGCCCACACCCAGAACAGATATTACTAGTCAATCCTAAGAGTCTTTTAGCTGCTCCAGAAAGCCATTACTAATCCATGAGAGTTGGAACAAGAATTAGAACTTATTTGTCACGTTTCTGATTTCTGTGGAGTCAGGTGACCTGCATGGAGTTGTCCAGTTTTTTTTTATTATTATTTTTAAAAATTTATTTTTATTTTATGTGTATGAGTGTTTTCCCTGCATGTATGTAAGTGTACCACATGCATGCAATGTGCTTGGAGGCTAGAAGAGGGTATCAAATCCCCTAGAACTGGAGTTACTGAATGGTTAGTTGTCATGTGGGTGCTGGGAACCGAACCCAGGTCCTCCACAAAAGCAGCCAGTGCTCTTACCTGCTGAGTCATCTCTCCAGTCCCAGTTAGTTGTCCAGTTCTTATGGGGGCCCCATGGAGACATTTTTCCCTGTGGAGAGAATGGCTCCCCTTTTTCCATTTGTGGGCCTTCCGATCCTGCCCATGTGACCAAGCCTGGTCTTGTCCCCCAGTGACCCCAGGCATGAAGATCTACATTGACCCCTTCACCTACGAAGACCCCAATGAGGCTGTGCGTGAGTTCGCTAAGGAAATTGACATCTCCTGTGTCAAGATCGAGCAAGTGATTGGTGCAGGTAGGTGTCATCCTACATGGTTCCACTCAGCAGGGTGACCACCCCAATGTATATATCACTAGAGTTGAGGGTAGGTTGAGGATCAAGGGCCACAAAGGACCCTCCTGAAGGCTCAGAATGCCCAAAGAAAAAGGACACTTAATGGTCATCTGGTAAGACCATCACATGGAGAGAAGGGGAAGTTGAGACTGAATGAGGTAGGAGCTGGCACAGCAAGTTGGAGACTAAAGTGGGTCTGGAACCTAGCTCTGCTGCAGGCCCACCCCTATCACCCCAGATCTCCCCATATTCTCACCCTCACACCCAGCCAGTCACCAGGGGGCAGCTGGGAAGGACCCACTCACTACTCCTCAAAGATGGAGGCCTGCTCTGAACCCCACATTCACAATGAGTCTGATAGAAAGAGTTCAAGAAGCATCCACAGCAGAGGTGATGGAGGTGGCACTTACACCTGGCATGTGGCATCCTACCTATCTTGGTGTGTCTGCCCCAGGGGAGTTTGGCGAGGTCTGCAGCGGCCACCTAAAGCTTCCAGGCAAGAGAGAGATCTTCGTAGCCATCAAGACACTGAAGTCAGGCTACACAGAGAAGCAGCGCCGGGACTTCCTGAGTGAGGCGTCTATCATGGGCCAGTTTGACCACCCCAATGTCATCCACCTGGAAGGAGTTGTCACAAAGAGCACACCCGTCATGATCATCACCGAGTTCATGGAGAATGGCTCCCTGGACTCTTTCCTCCGGGTAGGGAGAGCTTGGGCATGAGCTTGGGCTGCCACCTTCCATTGTCTTACCCTGGCAGACATTGCTAATCAATCCCAGAGCTCCTTCCCACTCAGTTCAGAAGCAATCTCAGAATCCTTCTCAATGAGGTTCCTCAGGAAGTCCAAGCAGTCACTTGGGGTTGGCATACAAGCTGTTTCCATCCATGCTCAGGCAGCCTGCTTGTTAGGCACAGCAGGGAAGAAGCATTTACCCAGAATCAGTCAGAGGGTCAAAGGGAGAGCCCAGACCACAGATAGGGGTCTTAACACCACAGCCAGGGTTTTCCCCAGACTTTAGAGTTCTCCAAAGTAACACAGGATAGGGGAGAAAAGCCAACATGCAAAGCCAACAGAGGAATTCCCTGGGTGAGCAGAGCCAGCCAGAAAGACAGAGCACACTGGTCTGGGTGTCAGGAACGTGCCACCAGGCCAGATGCCATTCAGCAAATATTTATGAAGCAGGTGCCAGACACCTTCCATGAGCCTTCCTGTTTAACTCAGAGCAGCCCTGAGAGGCCAAAGCCACTTCTCCCCATTTAACACACAGATGAGTAAGCAGGCTCAGAAGTTGGGTCCTATATTTAAGGATGCGCAGCGGCATGAGGGTCAATCCAGGTACACTTGCTTCAGAGCTGGTATTCTCTCTACTGCCCTGAAGCAGGCCTCTCACGGGGCCCTCTGAGGTCCTTGGGCGTCCAAGGCCTTTCCATGGGGATCACAGGGCAAAGAAAGCCGAGACCTGCCATTGACTCTTGTTTCCCACTTCCCTCAAAGCAAAATGACGGGCAGTTCACAGTTATCCAGCTGGTGGGCATGCTGAGGGGCATCGCGGCTGGCATGAAATACCTGGCAGACATGAACTATGTGCACCGCGACCTGGCGGCACGCAACATCCTTGTCAACAGCAACCTGGTGTGCAAGGTGTCTGACTTCGGGCTCTCTCGCTTCCTGGAGGACGACACATCTGACCCCACCTACACAAGTGCTCTGGTAAGGGGGCGGCGAGGGTGCTGGGCATTGCCACTCTCCTTGCTGAAGGTGTCCACCCACCCTGCTCAGACCAACCCTACATCTGACCCTGCAGACAGGGATGGGCACACAGCAAACCTCCTAGGCTCTTGGCTGTCCCAGCCTGGGGAGGCAGAGGAGGATCGCTGATGGGGGTGAGGGTTAGGCTAAGAGCTGAAGAGTAGTTAAAGTGCCCTTGAAGAGGTCATGTGACTGGGGTGCAGGCTGTGATGGGGGAAGGTGAACCACTGAGTGGAGCCAGATTCTGGATGCCCTCGAATGACCAAAACCAGGGATGTCCCCTGACAGAAGTCAAGGTTGAAGAGTTTTAAATGTTAAAGAAGATCTGGGCCCTGAACGTAGAGCTCAGAAGATTCCAGGGTGTTTAGAGCCAGCAAGGCAGGCACAAGTATACTGTTATAGGAAGGGAGAGTCTGCTCTATGGACAGACATGGGCTTACTGTAGGATTGGCAGACCAGGGAAAGGCTTTCTGGGGGTCTCAAAAGATGAGAAGGTGGCATCCAGATGGCAGACTGGGAAAAACTATTTCCTACAGAAGGAATAGCATATGCAAATGCCTTGTGGTTTGCCCCTTGGGGTGTTTGGGAAACAGTGAGGGTTTTGTGGGATTGGCACAGCACAGCGTGGGGAGTATGAGAGAAGTCAGACAGGATACCATCCTGCCCCTCAACCTCCTCCCTCTGCCCTCCCCTCCTACAGGGTGGGAAGATCCCCATCCGTTGGACAGCACCAGAGGCTATCCAGTACCGGAAGTTCACCTCAGCCAGCGATGTGTGGAGCTATGGCATCGTCATGTGGGAGGTGATGTCCTACGGGGAACGGCCCTACTGGGACATGACCAACCAGGATGTGAGTCTTCAGGGGGGTGGGCAGGACCTTGCTAGCTGGCTGGTGGGGGAGGGGAAGTTCAGAAACACCTGGCCTTGTGTCAACCTTGAGGTTGAAGGCCTGACTCTGAGACTGATATTGAATGACCCAAATGTCTGCAAAGGACCCTGGACTCTAGAGGGGAGAAAGTAGGGAGGTCCACCTGCTCACCTGCCAATCAGCAAATCATAGCATGTGAGCACGGCCAGCCTTGAAGAGGCCATGCCACCTGCTTTTCTTCCCTTCCTTCCTTCCTTCCTTCTTTCTTTTTTATACTGATGGTTGAGTTTAGAGCCTCCTGCTTGCTGGCCAAGCCCTCTACCACAGAGCTATATCTCCAACCCTCTTTTTACTTTTTATTTTGAGACAGGATCTCACAGGGTTGCCCAGGGCTGGCCTTGAACTTCCCATTCTCCTTCCTCGGCCTCTCCAGTGGCCGGGATGGCGGGCCTAAGGCACCCAGCCCAGCTTCTCTAGGGGACAGATAATTTTGGTTTTAATGTCTTTTATTCTGCGGAGAGGGATGCACACGTGTGGAAGTCAGAGGACAGCTTCTGAAAGTTAGTTTTCTCTTTCCATCATGTGGGTTCTGGGGTTCAGACTTAAGTTGTGAGGCTTGGTGGCAAGTGCCTTTACCTACCGAATGATCTTGCTAGCCCCAAGATGATTTTTCAAGGAACCAGATGCAGCCATCAGGAAAGATTTTTAATTAAATTTTTACAAATTTCATATAATACATTTGATTATATTTTGACCCCCCCTTAATCTGCACCCCTCTTAATGCCCCTGCCCAGTTTCATGTACTGTCATATATATATCTCAAGGCCTATGGATTCAAATTTGTGTCCCCACATGCTCTTTGGTGTGGGTGCCACTGGAACCTGGTTAACCTAGCTAGCATCACACCTTTAAAGAAAACCGACTCTCCCCTTCCCAGCAGCCATCAGTTGCCAATAGTTTCTCAGGTAGTGTTAGGGTTTCTTAACCACTTTCCCACGTCTGTGCTGGGATTTTATCTGGCAGAGCTTGCATGGGACCTGAGCATGATGTCACTGCTGCTGTAAGTTCATATGAGTAACTTCCCAGCTGTCTGGAAAACTGTTTGCTGTGGTCACGCACCCCCTCTGGCTCTTACAGTCTTTCTGCCCCCTCTTCCACAATGGTCCCAGAGCCTTGGGTGGCAGAGGTTTGATATAGGTGTCCTATTCTGGGATAAGTGATCTTCAGTTTCTTATGCTCTGCACTGTGGCCAGCTTTGGCTTTCTGGGCTAATCACCATCTGTTGGTGAGGAAGCTTCGCTGATAAGAGTTGAGAGATGCATTAGTATTTTGTGTGTGTGTGTGTGTGTGTGTGTGTGCGCGCGCGCGCGCGCGCGTCTTTTTTGAGACAGGGTCTCCTTGTAGCCCCAGCTGTTCTGGAACTCACTATGTAGACCAGGCTGGCCTCGAACTCAAAAAAGATCTGCCTGCCTCTGCCTCCCAAGTGCTGGGATTAAAGGTGTGCACCACCACGCCCGGCCCCCATTAGTATTCTTTCTGCCTCCTATTTCGCTATGCTGCCTGAGCTTTAGGTACAGAGGTTACATTGTAAATGTTTCACTTAGTGCTGGGCACCTCACAGACACTTATTCTCTGTGTTTGACCAGTTATGAAACTTTGTAATAGTCTCCATCTGTTGCAAAGAGGCTTCTTTAGTGAGTGGTAAGAGATACACTGGTCAAGCTAGTGGGGAGCTCTCCAGCAGCATGTCATGACCTTGTCCTGGGAAGATGGCAACCAAGTGGGTGGGTTCTGACTAGCGAGGCAGGGTAAATGGGCACCATCTGCAACTTTTATGGTCAGGTGCTAAATTGGAGAAGGTAGGTGTCAAGTCTCATAGTTGTGAAAATTAGGATGAATCAGGACAAGATTAGTCAAGAAGTTTTCACAGGACCATCAGTATTTGGAGACTGAAGGTATGTACGTAGGAAGAACAGCCTATGCAAAGGCCCAGAAGTGAGAATAAGAGGCAGAGTTTGGAGCCATGGAGAGTAAACTTGGTCAGAAAGATTGGGGAGACTCTATGTTTGTTGGTTTTCTGTCACTGCAACAAAATGCCTGAGATAATCAACTTAAAAAGAAGAAAGGTTTGCTTTGACTCAGAGTTTCAGAGCTTCAGTCTCTGTCTGGTTAGCCTGTTTCCTTGGGGCCTGTGGTGAGATAGTGCATGGTGGGAGTGCAGAGGAAGTTGCAGAAAGGATGTAGCTCTGTGGTAGAGGGCTTGGCTAGTATGCATGAGGCTCACCTCAGAGCTAGGAAGCAAGAAGAAAGAAGAGACCAGCGCCCCAGTATCCCCTTCCCAGCCATGCAGCAGTGCCTAGCTTCCCTCCATGAGGCCCCACCTCCTAAAGGTCCTGCCAACTCCCAATAGTACCACAGGTTGGGGGTAAAGCCTTCAGCTCACAGGCCTTTGGGGAACATTTGAGATCTACACTGTAGCAGAGTCCATGTGTTTGAAGTCATCCTAGGGACTTTGATTCACTTAAATGCAGAGGAAGGATGGACTTGAAAGTTTTTTGAAATGGTCCCGTTCTAGACAAATCTCATCTTCATGGTGCAGGGCCATTTGGAGAGAGTGTTGGCCTTCTTTTCCTGACAGAGGAGCAGGCAGAGGCCATAGGAAGGGTCACTAGGCAGGCTGAGGGCCCAGCTGTGAGGCTGACCCAGCAAGTGTCTCTACCTAAGCTCTGAGCAGTCATTGAGAATGTGACAAACTTGGGGTCAAGCAGAGAGCCAAAGAGGGTGTCCATGGCCATCAGAGCCAGAAGGGCACTCACAGATGGGAAGAATGAGGAGCTGGGGGAGACCAACACAGCAGGGTCTTCCTGACAGGCCCTGAGGAGAGGCCACCTCAGGTCACTGGATGGGGGAACCCAGGTCAGCTCCAGGAGGTGGAGAAGCCCATGGGCCAGGCTTGCAGTGCTCTGGGGATGAATGGGCCTGGCGAGGGCTGAAACCATCACCCCAGTCACCCAGCCCCACCTGGTCTCCGTGTTGTCCACAGGTTATCAATGCCATTGAGCAGGACTACCGGCTGCCACCGCCCATGGACTGCCCAAGCGCCCTGCACCAACTCATGTTGGACTGCTGGCAGAAGGACCGAAACCACAGGCCCAAGTTCGGCCAGATCGTCAACACGCTGGACAAGATGATCCGAAACCCCAACAGCCTCAAAGCCATGGCACCCCTCTCCTCTGGGTATGGCTGCCCCACCCCTGTCTCTAAGCTCCACCCCCTCCTTTGGGTGTGGCTCACCCTAGCCCCACCTGTCTCCTCCGGGAACTGCTGTTCTTGCCCCACCTCCTTTGGCTCCACCTCCCCCTCTGGATACTGTTTTTCTGGCCCCACCCCACTTGACCCGGCCCCCTCTTTGGATACTGCTGTACCCAGCACCCCTTTCTGTAGTGCTGCTTAGCCCAGGCAGTCCGCCACTCTGGGAGTGCCCTCCTACCACAGCTGCACCTGTGTCCTCCCGCTTCAAGCAAACGCTCAGAGTTGCATCTTGGGGTGGGGAATGCAGGACTGGTACTTGTTAGGCATCTGTAAAGATGCCAGGGAATACAAGACCCAGACTGTCTGGAGAATGACCCTATAAAGCCCAATCAGTGAAGACAACATTTAAGAAGTCTCCCCTATGGTCCAGTCTTCATAGAGATCAGCTGTGTTCAATACCGTCTCCTCGTTAGCTGCCTTCACACACCAGCCAGGCTTCCAGCACACATTTGCACCCTCACTGGCACAGGCACAGACACACACCTCACACATGGACACAGTCAAACATTCACACAATCCATTGATGGCACATACATGTCCCCAGTTAGAGACCGCTCAGCCCACGCACAAGGCAGGTTCAGGGACCCTGAGTTTTCCTCTCTGAGGTCCCAGGGCAGGCTCCACCAGGCTCAGCTTGCTATTATAAGTCATGCAACTGCTAGTCCTGCTCACTCTGACTCTCTGGGACCCAAGGGCATCTGTCACAAGTCACAAGGATGCCACAGGTCATGCAGCTGCTGGGCCTATGCATGCTTAGTCTCCAGGACCCACAGTTCCATGGGGCTTTACTAGGGGCTGCAGCATTCTCAGGACCCAGGGCTGGCCGTTCCCAGAGATTCCCCGGGCCAAAGCCCTTCATGCACCAAGTTCTGTGGCTGTTGAGGTCTGCTTACTGTCTCTCCTCACCATGATGCTTCATCGGCCACTCTGACTCTGAGTGTTGCCTCTCATGACAAATGCTCACTCTACCAGCCCAGAGCTGTCTCCATTAGCCCTGAGCCTTGTCTGGATATGGTTCACATGCTCAGCTACCCAGAGCACAGCCCAGGGTAGAGAAGGATGGAGAATCACTCTGAGGGAGAAAACAGGGACTAGCCTCATCAGTCCAGACAAAGATTCTCTCCCTGAAAACTGACGGCCCCCGGGAGGAGTTCTTTCAGCCTCTCTTCTGTAATTGGGGCTCAGCGGAGCCTTCTCTGAGCTTTTCAAGTCACCCTGCACACACTCACTCTCACATTCACACATACTTGCACAGGTTCTAACTCTTGCCCCCCGACACACAAACACGTACACACGCCTTCACCTGTATTCACTCAGGGATTCCTGTGTGTGCATTCCTACCCTCCACTTGGCTGTGGCCATGTGCCCTGACTATCCCTGTTGCCTGCCCCGCCCACAGCATCAACCTGCCGCTGCTGGACCGAACAGTCCCGGACTACACCAGCTTTAACACAGTGGATGAGTGGCTAGAGGCAATCAAGATGGGCCAGTATAAAGAGAGCTTCGCCAACGCTGGCTTCAGCTCCTTCGACGTCGTGTCTCAGATGATGATGGAGTAAGTGCACAGCTCTTCCACTCCCGCTGGCACCGTCCTCCACCTGCCACCAGCCAAGGAGAGAGTTCTGGAGGGTGAAGAGTAGACAGTGTCCCAGTGGGGATGACAGGAAACAAGGAATGAAACAGACAGCTTAGGAGTCATATCCAGATCTATAGCCAAGGCTGCCTGCTGCCTCCTGGCTCTCTGATTGGGCAAATCCCAGAAGTCTCCAAAGTTTTCTTATCTGTAAATGAGGATTTGGTGAAGCACACAGGGTAAAGGAGAAATCAAAGAAATAGGTACTTAGCCAATGCAGGCTCCTCCCTGCTTCTTGGTGGCAGAGGAGAAAAGGGCACCCTGCATCCCTACCAAGTGTTCCAGCCCCAGAGTAGCTCAGCTCAGCCTTGACACCCGCTCCTCAGCACCAAGCCCTTGGGAAAGCTCAGGCCCACAGCCCCATCAATCCCCACATTTTTCTAATGTGTGCTTCTCTCCCAAAGGGATATTCTCCGGGTTGGGGTCACCCTGGCTGGCCACCAGAAAAAAATCCTGAACAGTATCCAGGTGATGCGGGCCCAGATGAACCAGATCCAGTCTGTGGAGGTTTGACGTTCGCCTGCCTCGGCTCGCCTCTTCCTCCACACCACGCTCTCCTCCCCCTCCACGGGTCCTCCTGCTGCTCCGTCCACTGCAGGGTCAGCCACCTGCCAGAAGGCCACAGGCAACAGAAAGAACCAAGCAGCGCTGCAGCCAATGAGACGTCACCAACAACACATGCAAGTCAAAGGAAAGGGAATGGGGGGAACTCGCAACTAGATCTGGGAGGGGGCGGGACACGCAAGGAACGTTTTCCAGAGGATTCTCATAAAGAGAGTAACGACGGTTCTTGGGGGCGGGGGAGAGAACAGAAAAGGGCTTGGGAGATCTACGTGATCTATCCCATTGGAGATCAAACGCAGTCTCTCTCCAACTCCTGGGAAGGTGAGCTGACCAGAACCGAGAAACACTTCCAGGAAAACAAATACGAAGGCGAGAGATGGCTGCTGGCCTTGAGCTGTTACTGGAGTATCACTAACAGCTGACCCCAGGCACAAGAGGCAGCTGGACAGGCAGCTACCCCAGAATGGCTGCCAGAAAGTCCATTCCGGCTGCCACTGGGCAGACAGAAGAGGAGGTCCACTTCGGGAGACAATTTCAGAAACTCTGAGAGACTTTCTGCTGTGGGCTCAGGAGGTGGAAGGGGGGCTCCTGGGTGACAGCCAACAGGCCAGCTCTCCCTGAGGACGGCCACCCAGGTCTTCAGCCCCACTCAGACCCGCCACCGCCCCACAAAGATGATGCTGAGGTGACTGTCATCAGCTCCGACTGCCACTGAGAAGCATTGATCTTGCATCTGGGTTTGTTTACAGCGATTTGTGGACTCTGGGGGAATTTTGATCAGGGGTGGTTTTGGTCTGGGGAGGGTTCGTTTGGGTTTTTTTTTTTTTAAATGACAATGAAGTGACACTTTGACATTTCCTACCTTTTGAGGACTTGACCCTTCTCCAGGAAGAAGGTGCTTTCTGCTTACTGACTTAGGCAATACACCAAGGGCGAGATTTTATATGCACATTTCTGGATTTTTATATGGTTTTCATTGACACTCTTCCTTCCATCCACTGGCTGCCAGGCCTCACCAAAGCCAACTGTCACAGGGCCATCTGGGCCTTTCAGAACCTGAGTGAGACTGGGGAATGAAAGGGGTTGCACCCAGGCCGGGGAGCATCCCACCCGGGACTGCTGTGGAAAGCAGACTGAAACAGATGAGTGCTCCGAGGCCAGAAGTGTTCTGTGCCTCGCCTGCACGAGCATGCTCTCTCTGCCCTACTCTATCTGGTATTTCCCAGGCACAGAGGCCCCTTTAGGCTCCTGGGTGCCCTCCGATGGTCAAAACCCAGTTTTGCCTCTGGGAGCCTGGATCAGGCTGCCCCAGAAGCCAGGACCCCGATTATTCACTGTGACGTCCCAGCCCTCCAGAGGGTACCCAGGGAGACCATGTGACTCTCCTACTCCCTCCCTCCCCCCAGGCCTCTGCCCAGATCTGAAGGTCTTGACCACCGGGACAGCATTAGCCAAGGGGTCTGGTCACAAACGCAGAACAATCGGTTAGTGAACTGAACGGAAATAAATGCTTTAGTTATAAAATGACCCCTGTACTCCGTAAGTTCCAAGAGGAGACTCTGGTGCCCTTAGGAAGTGCCAAATGACTCTATACTCTTGCAAGGGACTCTTTCCTGCTCCGGATTCTAAAAGGCCCAGGACTGAGAAAACAGAGAAACAAAAAACAAACAGAAACCTCATAAGCTTTCTAGTCCCAGCTCCTCAGAAGCACAGGCAGGGAAGGAAGGGCCTTGGAATGGCTCAGCTCTCAGTGCCGATGCCTGACAGAGTGAACTGCATGGGAGACGCATCAGGAGCAGGGGGTGGACAGAGCATACCCAGCAAGCCCCAGCCAGAGGACAGGAGCTATGGGTTAGATGGATTGTGATATGGGGAGTGTGGTCCCCATTCAGCCACAGGTGCCATCTCACCCAAGCCATGTTGTCTCCTGTGCTAAGGGCTTGAACTCATGACTGTTGTACAGCAAGGAGGAGGCAGGAAGTGAGGCTGTGCCCCAGAGATCATTTCTGTTGGAAGAGGGGGAGCTATCCCAGGGACTCCCCATCTCAGGTTGTTTCCTTTGTCTACAAGCTTCTTCGAGGAGCTTGCCCAGTAGGGAAGATTGAGGCCACAGGCCACCAGCTAAATGCCTTGCAGTTAACAGCCACCATAGAGTAGACCAGCCTGTCATCTGTCACTCACCTGTTCTCAGAGTCTTGAGCAGAGGGAAGGAAGGGATTAGTGGGGAAAATGGCCCCTGGGGGGACAACACAGCAAGCCATGGGGCAAACCTTGGCAGGTTTCCCATAAACCAGCCTGGTCATCCCTTTATGCCCCAAAGATACCCAGCGCGGATGGCAGCTGTCCCTCCACACAAGGTCACCTTCTGGTGGGAGTTGCTCTGATGCTCTGTAGATTAACTGTCTCCGCAGCCCACCTCCCACTGTTCCAGAGCCTCATGAGGGCTGGCAGTCAGTGCTTCCGTCAGATGGCTTCTGTCCTAAGCCACTAAGCTGGTGTCTCCTAGCCAGCTCTCCTGCCTATCCACCTTCTAGGGCCCAAGGTGCTCAGTGGCCTTGACCTCTTATATACCTGCTCTGAGAGTATGGGTGCTACCTAGATCCTATGTCTCCTTTTCAGGGTATAGACATCACTGTGGCTGTCTTGGGGTGCAAGCAACACTCCTTTCTAAATCATGGGGCAGAAATACACACACACACACACACACACACACACACACACACACTAGCTTCTTCATCACTGCTCAGCAGGGAGTGGCAGGCCCTGCTGCCAAACGCCTTCCACTTACGGCTGCCCACTCGCCTGGGCACACAGCTTGGAGCTACCCGCTGCCTGGTTACTAATCCCTTCCTGGCTCCCCCTCCCGAGGCACCAGCCCCCACCTGCCCAGCATCGAGAGGATCTTCCGGCTGCTCAGCACACACTTGAATCTTGAGGACAGAAAGCTGCCCTGTAAACCAGGGCGAGGGCACCATGGAAATGGGGCCAGCTGCTCTGAGAGGGTGTGCCTGGCAGAGCCACACAGAGCAGGGCTAGCAAGAGGGAGCTGTGCCACCCACTGTACCCTCTTGCTCCACAATGTCCTCTTCCTGAGATGAGTTTTGCTGGGGACATAGCTGAGCTGGTAAAGCCCAGTATTCCATCCCCAGTACCACATAAACCAGATATGGTAGTAATTACGTGACTGTAATCCCAGTATTCAGGAGGAGCAGAAGTTCAAGGTCATCCTTAACTCCTTTTAGTGAGTTCAAGGCCAGGCTAGCCTACATGAGACCCTGCCTCAAAAAAAATCACCTAGGAAGTCAGATTAGATAACATTCTTGGTGCTGGAGCCACAGCCTCTGAGCTGGGTTTAAGGTGGTAGGGGACACTTAGGAGACTTAAGGCAGGGGTTCTCTGCTCACCGGGCATAATGGGAATCTGCCCATCCTTTCCGAGCGTTCTATGCTGCCCCCTTGTGGGAAGTCACTAACCTCACAACCCTGACACCAGCACATCCCCAGGAAGCTGGGAGCTCCTACCCCTGTCAATCATTAGACACATGCAAACACACTTGCACGCACAGGCACACACACACAGGCATACACACACCAGGTCCACCCTGACCCGCCCCCCACTACCTGGCTAACACACAGGAAGGACTCTGGGTCCAGACCACCACTCACCCCAGCACCACCCCTTCCCATTTGTAAAATGACAGCTTTGAGGTCTGTGAGCCAGGCCTGTAAAACCCTCGTCCACCTTAGTCCTGAGACGAGGGCTAAGAGAGCAATTGACGCTCAGAGGAATGAAGCTCATCTACAGCTCTGGCGGGGAGGCGTAGGACCTTGAGCCTTGGTTTACCTGCTTCTGGTGTCCACTGGAGCATGGTCAGTTAGATGGTAGGAAGCAAAGAGGCTCTGACGCTGGCCGATGAGGGAAGGGAAGCCTAGATAGAATGGGGCTCTCAGGGAGGACTTGGGGAGAACTGTCTTGAAAATGACAAAGGTTGAGAGAAAGGTCACTCCAGTGTACTTTAGCAGTCTTACAGCAGAACTGTAGCAGTCTGACAGTCCAGTGCAGGAGTGTAGGTTTACGTTGATGTGAGACACTCTGGGCATGCTGTTACGGTCCAACGGCCCAGCCACAGGGGCTTTTTAGCAGAGATCCATGTGGCAAGCATCAGGTTGTAGGAAAAGAAGTCAGTTCAGCCATATGACCAGAAGAGGGCCTCCTAGCCACCCCTTGTGATTCCAGAAGAGTCCAGGCTCTGCTGTTGTTTCCTTTCTACCACCAACACAGATAATCCAGGGTCCCTGAAGCTACCTGGGACGGAGGGGTGGGATTTCTGCTACCTGCTCCATCTTTTCATTTTTGAAATAGTCTTATCTGTCTCAGGCTGGTCTCAAACTCACTATGTAGCCAAGGATGACCTTAATTAAGCTTCTGATCCTCCTGCCTCCACCTCCCAAGTGTTGGGATGTCAGGTGTCCACCACCAGGCCCAGTTGCCATGGGACTAGGGATCAAATCCAGGGCTCCATGAATGTTAGGCAAGCGCTGTACCAATTGAGCTCCATCCGCTGCCCATTTGCTTCTCTTTCTAGCTCTAGTCAGCACACGGCCACACTCTACCAACCAACCTCAACCAACACTCCCATGCAGTGACTCCTTCTGCAAAACAAGGTGGTTAATGACCTTGATCTCAGTTAGTTCCCTCTGCAGAGAAACCAAGGTAGGAGTGTTGGAAAGGACTTGGCCTGAGTGGGTCTCAGGGCATCGCGCTCCCCCCAGCCCGCCCCCGGCAGGCTGGTCTCATGAGGTTGAAGCCTGGGAGGACTTCAATAATAGCTGAACATTTTACCCTATGCCAAGTGCCAAAATATCATATTTCCCATTTTGCCAGTAAAGAAGTAGACACTCAGAGGGCATTCCCTGGGGACCCCAGCCAGGCCCTCCCCCCATTCAGCGTCCTTCCTCCCCATTGGTTTTACAAGTGCGCACCATCATCCACCCACATGATCAGCATCTTCCCCATTACTGACCACTGAACTTGAGGATTCCAGGGTTATCTTGACCCCCTAGTTAGAATCCCCTATCTAGACAACCAGAGATCTGCCCCCTCAGACTCTGAATTCATTCCCTCCCTTCCCTCATCACTCCACAACCAATTGCCTCAAGTGTGCAGAGTGGGGCTGGCCTCTCTACACAGGGCCTAGGATGAAGGTAGACATCAGATAAGAGTCCCAAGTCCAAACACAAGACTAAGACCCTGGAAGTGCAGGAGAAAGGTTGGGCCTTCAAGAACCTGCTCAGACTAGGTTAGGCTTTCAGAGAAATTAGAAAGACCCTCACATCTCTGGAATCCAGTTGAGTCAAGTTCACAGCAGGGAAACTGTCTCAGGAAAGCTGATGTAGCAAGAAGTGGAAACTTAATACTTCAGAGGGACCCTATAGTAATACTTCAGTGGGCCAGGGCCACTCTGTGGAGATTGCAACACCCCAACACCATAGGGCAGGCCTGCTTGTCCAGCACCTGGCCTGGTGGGTCAGGCCAAGGCAGGGCACCGCTTCCTGGTGGACCTGGACCTGGGTTCCCTTTACCCCACCAACACTGCCACCCAGATGGAGAAGAAAGCAGATAAGGAAATGTCTCTGTTCTTTGAGGTCTGACACCCCTGCTGAACAGGGCTGTGGCCATGGTAGGAGAGCTAGGAGGTCAGAAAACATCTTAAAGCAGATCAGAGCTGGGATTGCCTACACTGGAGGCCTGCCAAGCCTGCCTGAGCCAAGAATTCTAACACTCCAGCACTGAGACTCCAAGCTTCTACTCACCCAACCCCATCTCCTAAGATGCCAGTGGAAGCAGTCTGTGTCTCTGAGAGGTCATCACTAGGTGATTCGTGCTAATTTTTGAAATCTCAAGTCTCACGGTTCATCGCTGCTCCCCAAACCTGAGGGCCCTAGCAGGAAATTTAAAAGCACAAAGAGAGAGGGAGAGGAAAAAGGAGGGGACACACATGTTGGGAGCAGCTCATCCCTGGAATCTGGTTAAGGTGGACCCTAACAAGGAGTGCAGGCCCTCTCTGGGAATGTGAAGAATGTGAGGTGGCATTCTCTCTTGGTAGCAGCTAAGAAAGATCCTGACCCTCATCAGGCCCGCTTGGAGGAAGATGGCCCAGCTGCTCTAGCTATAGCTTCAAAACCCCCATGCAGACCATGGCGCCCACCAGTTGGGGGACTCTGACAGCCCAGTGCAGGGCTCAGCCTGGAGAGGGAGTCACCTGGAGTGAGCCTTCCCATAACACCCAGGAACAGGAGGCTGGAACTGCAAGACCTTATTTCCTTTGAAGGTCTCAGGACACAGCTTCCACACCTGCTCAGCACCTGCGGCTTCCAAGGAGCCCCTCACACCTTTCAGTTCTAGCCACTGCCTCCCACCGCTGCAGGCTCCAGGAAAGACTGCGGATGACCCAGAGTCCCATGACCAGCTGTCTGTCCTCCCTTCTACAGAGGTTCTAGTGGCTGAGACTCTGACCCCAGGTAGGC